CACTTTTGGTGTAGGTCAAGATTTCTTGAAACCCCCGAAATCTGGGTTAGCCCGCTTGTCCTTAAAAGCAATCAAATATAACCACCCACAAGAGAGGGTTTATACAGCAGCACACATCACAGACTCTGTCAAAAAAAGGGAGAGTACTTTCTTAGCCAAGTCAACACCCCAAACCCCTCCCCATCCATTTGCCCACAAGCCCTTATAACTCACTTATTTTTTGCCAAAGTGCTACATTCAACTTGGCACAAAATGCAGCACAATTTAGACCTTTTTCTCAGTGTCAATTATCACTTGCAGTATACACCATCAGCACAGTAATTGCTGTATTTCTCCTTTAGTTTTAGTAAGTGTTTAACGGCACTTGCAACAAAATAAGGTCATAAAAGTGCCAAAGAATAGATCTGTAACAACTTAGTTACAAGAGAGTAACACACATAAAAAAGGAGCAGAGATAAGGACGATAGATGTTTGATACAAAAGAAGTAGTAAACTACACCAGAGCACCTGCCAACCACCCACGCTATATTTCTCTTATACACAGACTGTCATAATGGTAACACAGCAAAAGAACCTTAAAGAGCAGAGCAGGACTAAACAAGAACCACCACCAAACACCCTAACCAACTACAGTAACAAATACAAAGATCAACTGCAGACCTAATCTTTTACTTCGAAAACACCAAAGTGTTATTTTTTTGTATACTGACTAAATATTTCCGGCAGATTTTTCGCCAGCACTTTCCATCTAAAATTAAAACATCCAGAACAGTCCAAATTATGCAATAGTCACAGGTGAATGAATGAGTTTTACTGTGTGCCAGCCACACATATCAGGAACAAAAAAAAAAAGGTTTATAATGTAGGTACAGTACCTACAAAGTCATGATTAGTTGAATACTTACACTTAAAAGCTCTTGCAGGGCCTCAGCTTTTTTCGCTATGTCTGCCAGTCGAGAATTTTCCTCTTTCAAATTGTCAATCTCTGTGCAGAGCTTAAAGATAGGAAGAAAAAAAAAAAAAAAATTAAAATTGATACATGTTTTGAGCTTTCCATGAGAAGCTTCCTAATGATTAAATCATTTGAAAATAGTGCTTCAGCTATTGTTCCATGAAAAAGATTTCAGGGTTAAACAGATGAGCCAACTCTTAAAACATAGTAAGCAATCTTCTCTTCTACAACCAGTGGAGGTTGTCGGAAAGACATTCAAACTAATCCAAGTTTTCACGAGCTTCTTCCAAAGCTAAATTTAGGGAAATATTTAGTCTCTAACTGGGAAATAAATGGGGTGCTCTTATTTGATAATAAATTTTTTTAAACCCAGAAGTCGGTTGCTAAAGTCCAGATACGCCTCTAGCCTAAGGAATTTAACATGATCATACAATATGACACAATTCTTATTTTTCCCCTACTGAGCACTCCCTTGTTTCTTGCAACAACAAAAATACACACGCCCTTCTCAATAAAAATAAGCGTAAGCAAAGATAACTGTTGTCATGATTAGGTCTACGTATAAATTATATGGAGGCTAAAATACTTACTTTTTCATTTTCTTTCAAAGTCTCCTTCAAGGCTATTCTCCGTTCCTCTGCCAGCTCTTTCCAATAGGTCCCAGATGGAGTATCTACAAAAAAAAGTAAAAATATGCAAAGTCCACACAATCAGAAGAATTCTTAACCCTATCCGTACGCCGTGTTTTACTATCGTATACGACGTGGGGAACTCTGTGCCACCACTTCCCAAAGAGGAAATTTACCCATTAATCCAATCCGCACGCTTTGCATAGCAGTCTGTCAAAATTATTTTTTTAGAAATACTGAAAGTTTGAAAGAGATCTTCGTACAAGAAGCATTCTAAAATGTGAAGAATACAACCCCGGGGGTACAAAATGACCCCA